CCGGGGCCCGCCGGCACCCGTGGGCAGCCCCCGCCGGCGGAGTGGCCTTAGGGAGGGGAGGGAGAGGCCGGTTTTATCCCCCTTGCTAGGGGCGGAGGTGTCTGTCTTGTGGAAGTCTTATTATGAAGCTCCACGGCTTGCTTTTGGGGTGCTTTGCTGTGTTGTGGGGTTTTAGGTCTTTTTTGTTGGTTTATTTGTTTCCACCCACGGTCTTTATTTGGCCACTGCGGTGAGCGAGCGGATGGGTGGGTGAGTGTTTGGGCGCCCCCGTGGGGAAAAAAAATGCTGTGAAATGCTGTGTCGGGGGAGAGGGTAAATCACCGCAGTCACAGACACACACGAAAGTAGCAATCGGGTGTGCAGTTTGCTGTGCTACTTTGTTTTCTTTCTTATTTCTCCCGCCTGTAATCTAGCAGTACCATGTTTTAGTCTAGAGAAGAGAGATGTCCTGGAGCTGGCCTGGCCTAAACTATATTGATACAAGCTGTAACAAAGCAGTACGTATTGTATTTGCTTTTCAACGTGAACTTAGGTCAAGACAGTAAAGAACCAAAATCAGTCTGTGAGTGCTTATCACCCACTTCTTATTTATTTTAAGAAATAAAATTGATATGTAACTTAGAAGGCTCCCAATAAGCTTCTCAACAGTACATGGGTTCCTGTTGGCTTTATTTTGAAGGATTATCGCAGCTATTTCACAGTCAAGTCTCTTTTTAACTTTTGCTAACTCTCTAGGCTTAGATTTAGATTTGTTGCCCTAAAAACAGTCTTGTAGGGAAGAGGCTGTGCTTGCTTCTCTCTAAGCACTTGGTGTAGTCACATTGGCTCGAACGAGCCAAGGAGACTTCCCATATATCCAGCGTTAGATCTGCAAGGCTGGTGGTTTGACTGTCTTCTTACCAGTACGTCCCAACGCAGTGTCCCCATGTGTTACCTGATCTAATTGAGAGGTGTCCCTGCCCATGACAGGGAGGTTGGATTAAGGTCCCTTCCAGCCTAGGCCATTCTATGATTCTATGAAAATCACTCTGCACAGAACATGGCTCAACTATAAGGAAATAGTGTTTCTTCAACTTCTGTTGTGAAGTGCTTCATTTTAATAATTTTTGTGGTTGAAATAATCCTCTATTGCTCATTAACGATGACTGTTGTTAATTTACAAGACTTTAAAAGTCAAACTTTTGCATAGGTGCCAGGGAATTTAGCAAAATAAATCTGTCCAAATTCATTAAAAAATGAGCTTTTGCTGTCATGGAGAACAAAAGAAACGGTGCCCAGTGAGCATGAGGTAACATTCTAGAACAACTAACACACAGACAGAAATATGGTACTGATAGCTGTATTTTTGTGAACATCTTCAAGAATTTTGTTACTTCCTTTCAGGGGTCCATGCTGGGATGAGTGATGTATAAAATCTTCCTCAATGATATATACAGTGAGATTGAGTGCACCCTCAGCAAGTCTGCAGATGACACCAAGCTGAGTGGTGCAGTCGACGTGCCAGAGGCACAGGATATCCTCCAGAGGGACCTGGACAAGCTGAAGAACCTCATGAGGTTCAACAAGTCAGTAGTAGTCAGATATAGGAATAGGCTGCCTAGGGAGGTGGTTGAGTCACCATCCCTGGATGTTTTTAAAGGTCGTTTAGATGTAGTGTTGGGGGATATGGTTTAGGACTGAGCTTTGCAGAGTAGGGTTAATCGTTGGACTCTGATCCCAAGGGTCTTTTCCAGCCTGAATGATTCTATGATTCAGGGTAGTGGTCCAGGGCTGCAGAGAAGCCTTAGCATCGGGAGGATGCACACAGTGACTTTCTGGCACCATCCAGGCAGCTACCAGTTTAGCAACACACTGTGTCTCTTGAAAAACAGTGCCTGTGTTAACTTCTGCAAGTGGTAAAGTTCACCTTGAACGTGCGTCATCCATTTTGTTGCGTCCTAGGACCCTAATAAAGACACGGAGTGGAATGACATCTTGCGCAAGAAAGGTATCCTTCCTCCGAAGGAAAACCTGGAGGAAAAGGAGCGTGCAAAGGAAGAGGAGCAGCTTGCCATCCTTCAGAAGTCTCTTGGTGAGTGACCAGCCAACCTGGGCAGCAGCAGGACAAGTCTTGGAATGGCTCCTGGGGAAAGCTTGTTGAAAGAAATGGCCTGCAGTAATGTTTATGGGCCTGTAAAGCAATGTGTCCTTTCCCGTATCTGTAAGAGATACCACAGCTGCTTCTCGTGTAATCCACAGTTGTTAGCAGTATCAAGAAAATACGTTCCTGAACATGTGGATCCTTCTAACACAGGAAAGCTTTGTTCTTGATGTCAGCCCCATATCTTTATACAAGTAAACGTTTGAAAATTCAAGGAAGGCAGTCTGCCATGTGAATGTGCAAGTAAGAGTATCTCATGACGTTACTTCCTTCTTCCTCCGTTGTTCAGGCATCCCTGCCATGCTGTGTGTGTGTTAGGTACATCTTTGCTGCAGCCACCAAACTTGAAAGCTAGTGCAGGAACTTGTGTAGGCAGCCTCCAGCTCAGAGTCCTTTATACCGTTGTCTTTCTATCTCTATGTCAAAAGCATGTAATATTTTCTAAAAATCCAGTAACAGCAATAACTTTAAAAACCCCCTATTTCCCATAGTTGATCTGTCCTTGAAGTACATAAATTCTGTTGGAATGATAAAAGCTGGTCAGTTTTAGTCCTGGAACAAGGCTTTTGCTGACTTGATGTTTCTTCCATTCTAGTGAAAACTTATGAGGACATGACTCTGGAAGAGCTGGAAGAGAACGAAGATGAATTTAGTGAGGAGGATGAGAAAGCTATTGAAATGTACAGGTCAGAGCAGCACACAAAATTTGTCTCTAATGAAAATTTGAGGTTTTCTCTTTTATATGCTGTTAGATGTTGTTGAAGAGAGGAAGGATGTTGTTAGGCCTGATCACAAAAGATATGGGTTGTGTTTCTGGTCTCTTGCAGCACTTCTGAGTGTCTTTAATAGAATAACTGGTTTTAAATTCAGTGTCCTTTACAACGTAGTTTTGCAGAAGTAACGTGCATCTGCTGAGTGCACGACTGGGGATTGAGAGCTTTGAAAATCACCTCCAAGATTTTTCTGGTTTTGTGTGAATAAGGTCAAGTTGTGGATTTACATAATTACAGTGTTGGTTTTCCTTTATCTCTTTATCTCTACCACCTCTTTTAGGTTTTGCTAGTTAGTTTGGTAGTGTAGTATCTGCAGAAGAAATGTCTGCTGAGGGCAGAAATGAGGAAAAAAAGTTTATGAAGCATAGTTGTACTTTGTGCACGTTGGTGGTTTTAACTTGTGATGCAAATGTAAGAGGATCTATTGACTGTATCAACTTGCTCTTGTGGCTCTGGGCTTTAGAAGTTTGTAATGTGCTGCTGAAGTCTGTGTTTCAACTAGCTCCTTTAAGTATTGTTCTGCCAAAAACATCTGTTCTCCGTTTCCCATTCCTTGCTGTTCAGGCAGCAAAGGTTAGCGGAAATGAAAGCAACTCAAATGAGGAATAAATTTGGAGAAGTTTTGGAGATTTCAGGAAAAGATTACGTTCAGGAAGTTACGAAAGCTGGAAAAGGTATATGGGTAGTCCTGCATCTCTACAAACAAGGGTAAGAATTTGTTTTTTACCTTTAAACCTTTCACTATCAATAGCAAAAAGTACTCTAGACAGATGCGTAGTTATTGTGGAAAATAAGGAACTGATTCTGGGGTTCGAAGAAGTAAAAAAAGTTGAATTAGTAATTTCATTACTGTTGCCTCATGACTACGCAGCTTAGCTATAAAACAGTGTCACCATGAAGTGGCTTTTTTATCCTCCATACAGCACAGCATGACTTTTACCACACAGCTGCCGTAGAGGTAGCTGCTGCCACTGAAATAGCCAAGCTTTGGACATTATTCTGCATAAAGCGTGAGGGGCTGTGCATTACAAGGATCACTGTGTGTCTTTAGTCTGGTTTCTAGAGGCATGAAAATGGAGTGAACAAGGTTTCCAGTCCTGTCACATGATGCAAAAAAATTGTCAAGATGGTCTGATAAGTTGCTAGAATTGTCTGCAAAGGGTTAGAAATGCTTGATTTTTGTCTCTGCCTCACAAGCGCCTGTTGTCATTTGCAAACTATCTTCCAGGAGCTACTTTTCTTTCTATTTCACCCTCGCTCATGCAATTTCTGAATACCGTAAGTAAATTTCTTCAAGGTGGTATTGCTAGTATCATAAAACAGAAAACCCACCACCCACCAAAACCTCCAGTGACGCTGATTTTCTTTAAATGCTGGAATACTACACAACAAAAGTATTCAGAAATTGCTTTTGGTACATTTGTCTTTCTTTAAATGCTCCTTAGTGAGCTGATATTTCTGACCTTTCTTCTGAACCAGATTACTGTCTAATTTGTTATTTAGTTTCCTCGTGTGTGTCTAATACTCTTTTTTTTTCCCCAGAATTCCACTCTGTGCCTTAATAAATCAACATATGAGCGGCCTTGCAAGGAAGTTCAGAGATGTGAAATTCATCAAAGCTATCTCTACTACCTGCATCCCCAACTACCCTGATAAGAACCTGCCTACGATATTTATCTACCTGGAGGGAGACATCAAAGCTCAGTTCATCGGTCCTCTGGTGTTCGGTGGCATGAACCTGACAAGGGATGGTGAGTATCTGTGTCTCCGCTCTTC